GTGGCTCACCAGATGCGTGAGTTACGTCCGCCAGCTCCTCGATCGCAGAAGACACCAGTGTAGTGGCTGGGAAGCCGTCTACGTGTTCACGCGTCCTGCTCCGCACAGACGGTGTTCGACAGCCACTTCTGCCGCCGTACACAGGAGCTTCCAAAGTGCTACACCGTACGAATAGGACGCACACTATTGATTGCGGTGACCGACACGAAGTTGTCGCGATCGATCGCCTCAAACCAGCTTTCAATGACGAAACCACAGAGCCTATGGCTACTCCGAACGCTTCGTGCGACGCTACGAATAATCATGCCAGGTTACAAACCCGTGGCATTCTTGCAGCGAGTACCAATTTAGCCTCACAGCCTAGGGTCATTCCGACATCATCATGTACTGCGAGCCTGTTGCCTTCCACGATCAATGGCCGTGGTCGGGAGGTTCGTAAGTCCGTTCGCTGTTCCAACTATATAGAGTATATATACGTTTAAGTTTGTAAATATTGTAGATATTTGCAACGCTTTAGGTCGATTAACGTCTTGAAAAAAATCCGTATATTCCAAAAACCAAAATGTCTAAGCATTTTTGCACGCAAGTCATTCGTTCGTACTTTTTGGCGTGTTCCGCGTGTGCTTTTCTGTTTTCTCGTCTCTACATGCCCCAACTCTCCCCTTCGATCGACTGGCCGTCACCAGCACCGTTTTTGAGGATCAATGCAGTCAAGGAGGATCTGGACGCGAACGCGGGTCGTTTCCTCGTGGGTCGTTATGGCGCGGGCGGGTGTGGCGAGAGGAGATGCAATTCCCAAGCGCACTGATGGACAGCAGCGGAGGTTAAGGTTCTGTCGGTCTTTTTTCTGAGCTAGTCAGTACTTTTGAAGTCCGACAACGCCGCTCCAACAACTCGCCGAAATGCACCCTGCCCTCCAATAAATAAGTAAGAAATAAACAACACAGAGGACTCTAATTTCCGACGAACTTGCATTTGACACGAAGGCTCGATTATTTTTATTCGGCGCGATTTTGCCCAAAAAACCTTGATTCACCCATCGTCTTCCACATCGAAGGTTTTTTTATTCAGCCTACTAGGAGAGCTATGTAGCGCCCCAAAGGATAACTGCAATCTTCTGTGTCCAATTACATACCCGACCAACTGTACATTAATCATATTGGTTTTAATCACCCTTACACAACGACCATTTGGCCTACATCAGGTTTGTCACTTTTAAGTTTGGTGATTCCGACGCTAATGTTTGCTCCTGCTCGCTTATGTGAGTGAAGTGAGTCAGAGGGTTTGGAGACGAACGCTGCAGTGCAGTTGGACCATTTGGCTCTCCTCTTCGGCCCAAAGGCGCAGCTCGAGCTGGCTGGTTGAGCTATGAGCGTGGCCATATTCACCTCCGAGGGCGCGATCTTAGCATTTACCAAATGCGCGATCGTCTCAGTCTACTGATCACACTTCTGCATGAGCACATACAAACAGTTGACAACTGGGATGACTTGACGTGTTGGATAAAACCAAAATCACCTGCTACTCTGTTCATCTGGTCCACTTTATTGACGCACTTTCCAGTACATTTCGGATGGAACGATGCAATGCAGTTGGAACAGAGTATCCCCATAGTAAGAAATCCAATGCATTTATCCGAAGAGCACACACAGCGTTGGAATACTGACTGTACTTTACTGGTCACATGCAGGTTATGAAGGCCGCTGCAACTTCCGGGGTAAGCACTGAGACAATGCTAGGTGTCGGTCACACGTAGGTCGTGTACACGCGTGTGCACAAACTTGGTGAGACAGGTCGGGCGGCAGATACATCGGTGGGAGCGACCAATCTGCGAAACTGGAAAACAGGTTGGATGTGCGCGAAGTTGGATGTGAATGATGTGCAAACAATGGAGTACAAATTGTTCCGTAGCCGCCTTGGAGAAAGCCATATCTGAGCCAATCCGGTTTATTGGATGCTTCAGAGATCGCGTTATCGAGCGCAGTAACACAGGTGGTTAAGTAACCAAAGTGCGATAAGTTTTCGCGCGTGCATTTGAACCCGAAAGCGGTAAAAACAGCTGGGAGGACTGAAACTGTAAGCCGTAGGAAATACTTCTAGGCAAAATGTAGAGGATAAAGCAAATTAGTGCGAATCGAATGAGTGTAATGTAATGTATTGTCGGAAGATGAAGAGCAGAATCTACATAAGAAAGAAGAGTTCAAAATGGATGCGGCCACACAGCACGCGTCAAAGCTGGTGATGTTCGTTGACATGCGAAAAACTTTGATAGAGTGCCTCGTCAGAGAATACTCAAAAGGTTGCTCTCATATCTAGTTAGGATGCAGTAGGTGGTGCACACTGGTAGCATTTCTCCAGACACAACGTAGCCACCGGTGGGGTAATTCAAGGGAGTGTTCTTGGACCCAATATATTGCTCGTTTATGTAAAGGATGCATTCTAGAGAAAAAGCTGCCGATAACATCAGTCTTCCACTCACGAAGCGCAGATACCCCATAAGTCATATGCTTTCCGATGCCACGTGTAGCAAACGTTAGTTACCGTGGGAAGGTGTAACATCCCGTCGTACAAATGCCAAGTACCGTCAAACAGCTTATTACTGCGAGGCACGTATAGCCTGCAATGCAGAGCAGTTTGCAACTTTAGTTTGCGATAGTATGTCATCCTTAACCTTTTGGGACAATGTGACCTTCAAGTACCGAAGGTCGTGGGTTTACAAGGTAGGTGTAATCGGATCTGAAATGCTGTTCATTGGTTCAATCGAAGCTGCGAACTCCAGACCAGCATGCTCATGAAAGTGCCGCGATAGCTCACCAAGTGATGCGAACACTGTTCGAAAAGGATGTATGAAGAGTACCGTGTTGCACTTGGATTATACCCAATCTGGCTTCGGAGAATGAGGCTGGACCTGTGTTTTCTTTCCAGAGTTATATGCATGCACTGCTAAAAGTGATACGCATATGCATCTCAATTGTAAGATAATCGATGAGTAACAATGAATCAAAGGTCATGGTTCTGAAATTTATTATGGAAATTATAGAACAATTTTATGTAATTTACTAATACAGGATGCGGACAGGACTCCTAAGAAACATCAGAACATGCTGCTTAAGTACAAGTTCGATACTAATGAGCGATTAAGAGAAATCGTTTGCGAACATAGGTACCCAGGATAAATTGGACATCAGCATATTATATCCTGGGCCATAATCCCCTAAGTTTTTATAAATGACTTGAAAATCTGCTCGTGTTCCCGAAAAACACAAATTTGTGTGAAAAACCAGCCAAGAAATTGGATTATTATAAATAATGAATCTTTTAATATTGACTAGGCGAGGTAAGCCCTTAGAGGTATGACCACGGAATTTGTTCTCAAATTCTTTTAAGTTCACTATAAATGAGCATGGGATAACCGCTCAAGTTCACTTAGGAGAGAACAGCTTATCGTACCATCAAGAAATATACAATGTATTCAGTTCGTCTGAGAGATCCCGAGTGGACAACGGATGGCATCGACCCTACAAGGTGTCCTGAAGAGCCTCAGCCACGTTTGCAAGCTTATCTTGAAATCAGCCACAACACCAACTTGCGGGGGCATAGATTGATGCTGGCTGCATTATACAGCCAGTTGGAATGTCGCTGAAGTTTTGCCCCTCCGCGACCGTCAGTCGTGGAATGTTCTACCAACGCAGAACATTTCTGCGGCCGAATTAACGGTAAGTAAAAAGCGCCTCAATGACGCATCAAGCTATCTGCACCACACGACATCACTCCAGTTTATCAGGAAACCTCCTAAGACAAATAAACGGTGTGCAGATCAGTCTTTCCATAAGACAGGAGTAGGTGAGATACAAGTTGCGTTAATGTGAGTGTCATCGTGAGTCCAATAACATGAAACTTATTTTTTGATAACAACGGAGCTCATCTCTCGATATCTGTTGGTCATATTATTGTAGTATAGATCAGTAGTGAAAGTTGATGTCTAGATTCAGAAGGATATTGTTGCTCGGATAATAAATCCAGGCGACAAGCAAGCAAAACATAAGTTGCGTGCCTAGCCGAAGCTGGTGGAACAAGTGCGAGACGGGCGAACGACGAGAGATGGCTAGAACGAAAGTGAGGTTCTCAAACTTATGGACAACCAGGAACAAGCGGTGCTATCTGCAGCTGGTAGAGATATGGCCAGTCGGAATTCAGGAAGTCGACCACTTTTGTGTGCGCTATGATCCACGATGCAAGGATCAAGCTGGAAAGCGATGTCACAGATGAGATCAGTTTACTTGATATACAGTGGAGGAGAACGATTGGTAGATGGTACCTAGTGTTTCCTTTGAGTGAAGGAAGATTACCACAAGTTGGTGTCGTAGCGTCAACGGGGAAGTGAAGAGAATAAACAATGCTAATAGAACTTGAGAGAAGCGGTCATCCTAGTGCCCCTGTGTGTATTAGAAAGTAGAGAAATTGTAACCGCATCAGCAGCGCAGGTGAACGGTAAAATTAACGAAAGGGCCTCGGTGGCTCGCGGGAAAGCGTGGATGGTGGTTTATTGAAGACAGAAGCAATGGTGTCTCATGTGGATGCGACTTTCGGACACCGGCATGCTCTCTTTCACATGGAATATGGACCGGTAGGTCAACATAAAGTCTGCTTCGTAGCAGTTGCGTAACTTATCCGGCTCTACGGAACGTAGCAGCTGGCATAAATGGGTACTGAGGAGGTATAGGTATGGGCAGTATAAGCACAATCAAGTAGGCTCTTTTATCAAACAGGTTTTAAAACCGCTCATGCCTGATGAACACCGCCTTTGATGACTAGACCAGTTAGCAAAAAACGTACCTGCCACCGTGCAAACCTACCACTAGGTTTTCAATGGAGGACATAAAGCGCCATAGGAGTCATCTAATTGAGTGGCAGATCATAGGAATCGTGGAATGCCGTAGCACTTAAGAGGCGTTATTGTTCCGAAGGCAACCTAACTCATGACGATATCAAATGCTCCGTGGAAAATAGTACTCACATCCGCTATTGTCATGATAACAACAGACATTAAAGAAGGCGAGACACAATGAATCAAGTATAGTATAAACACGATCAGGAAAATGCTCGCTGAGTTCCAAAAGGACGATAAATACAACGGACAGCCAACAGTATGAAATAGTAGCAGATGAGACACCAGTTTAGGAGGAACCAGGTCGGCCAATAAAAGTTACGTGTCGCAAGTGACACGATCGTTTTTCACTATGGATGGACTGTGCAGAAGGCGATCCAATTTCCGCACAACTGCTTGATACGCTTCCAACTCGGCAGTCACATAACCAGCCACTTGTGATGTGTAACACTCGTCAGCTAGTTCACCAAATACCATGGAAACAGTTTCACCAGGGCCGGGGGCATCGCGACGACGATCGACAGCTCGACCACACATGGCGTCCGTACGAGCGCGCTGGGATGAGACAAAACAGACCGATAGAAGCATATATACTGCAGTCCGAAACACGCAAAAAAGCAGTTTGTGGGATTTCAACGAGAAACAAGGTGCATGGTATGATGAAGGTCTTGGTGTCATAATTAGCATCATTCTAAGAGGAGCGCCATGTATGTTCATCACGCTGCGAGTAAGGTATCGCAATGGGCGGTTTACGCCAATCTGCTAGCTAACATCCCGGTACCGTAGGATTGGGTTAGCATGGTTTGTATTGCCAAAAAGAGTTGCTTACTGAGTGACCCAACACAGAATGCAAACCAAATCCTTCGAGTTGCTGGAGGGAGGTCTCATACACGACAACATGAAAATAAAGCTGCAACGAAGGTGACAAGAAGAACCAAAGTCAGCAGCATATACACGGTGGACTACTCGCTACAAGAGATAGGGTGCATTAGAGTGAGAGTATCCCCAACTGATGATAAGCGTCAAACGTCGAGCTCGAAACCAGGGATCAATGAGGAGATATAAGCGGGTTTAATCTTACCAGATGCGCAGACTGATGAACGTTCGTGGTTACAAGATGAGACGATAACCCTTTGCCGTGTTGACCCTTGATGCTACGGTGATCGCAACGTTTTTATGTAGATTGGCAATTTCCTTGGGAGCAACACCTCAGGGCTCCAAGCAGATCAACGGAGTTCAGGTATGAGCCGAGGAACAAAATGGTATGGACACAGCCAGCATAGCCTGCACTGTTATGAAAACTAGGGGGACATAATGCAAGGGGCCAGCGAAAACGTAAGAAGTTCAAAGGAAAAAGGAATTGGTTGCCACTACCAAGTATCAGGGAAAACATAGTTTGGCCGGTTCGACCATTTGGAACGCGCCATTAGCACACGTTCCGTTAGCACAATTACATTCGTAGACCATCGCGCACCACGGTAATATTCAAGAAGGACAGTATCAGTAGTCTGCGGTGCACTTCGGAAGACGGTGAGATAACAGATGAGTGACGTTATTACAAAGCGAGTGAAAAATTGTAACATAGTTGAGTAAGCACATGATGAGGAACAAACTGGGAACACCTGTAGACAGAAAATGAGCGGGTGACTGATGACTTTTACATTTTCTATTCGATTAGGCGTGTAGCAATGACCCACCTTACTTGATACATCCCATTTTGGTATTCTTCGATCCGAATGTGTCGCCGCTACCAAATACAACTCGCGTTATGCACACATCAAGCCTCGAGTCTAAAGGTGCCGAGTGGCTACCAGCCGCAACAAGAGACACCATGGGAAACTTGAAGCTAACTAACAAACTAAGCGAGGCATCCTCCTCTGATGATGCCCAGATGAAGCAAAATACGAAGAGAGTAAATCCGGTGCAGATACGAAACCGCCTAAGTGATAATATAGTCCTATTTGAAAATCCAGGAACACCATTAGTTATGAACCCATACACCTTAACGATGCTTAGTGACGAGACCAGATGGAAGAGGCTGCGGCTCCACGGGGTTGTTTTTCAGCAGAGATGTATGCGCAAGCCAGTGTTGTGGAACCGGTTGTCATAGAAATAAAAGCCAGAAAACGATTAAGACAGCGGAAAGAGATGCGGCTTAACAGACAATAACCCAAATGGAGGCCTGAAAATGTGAAACAGGACAAACAACTCGGTAACAAAAAACACGAGGAACCGCGAAACTGAGCCACTGAATCCGTGAGTGCAACAAGCTAGCAGGTCAGAGGTTCGGAGGACCGCATCCAATATGAGAGCCAGACGGTACGAGCGTGCTGTTCTGATATGTGTACGTAAAGTGAAACCTCCGAAGTTGACCACCTCTCTAGGTTGACAAATTTTCATAGCCTAAAAGGTCACTTAGTTAACCCTATGGAACCAAAACTCCGTATGTCCACCACCTCTGTAAGTTGTATGTTGACCATTTGGGCTACGACAGTCAGCACTAATTCAAACACCACAAGAGAAAAAGTTAGCGAACAGGCTTGTTTTCGGTGGGTGTCATCAGACTTAAACACCACAACTGATAGGAATAAAGTACGCGAAATACATCAGACAATGGCAAAGTTCAAAGGTCTAGGTTATCTGAATGACAAAGCTAGGTGGTTGGTTCGGAAGCGGTCAAGGACATGTGAGTGGCGTGTTCCAAACCTGGATCATTGTGGTGAGGGACCACAATAGATCGCCACAATAAATCCCTTTTGTGCACATCAATCTGGGTTCTGGAGGCGGATAGCAAACGCTTCCGCTGTTGCTAGTAGGCAATGTCTAACCGCTCGTGTGTGGCGTCCAGGTACGCGGTAAATAGAAAGACAGGAAAGCAGACAGTCACAGCTGCACAGAGCAAATATTGTCCACCATAATGTTAATAAGTTCCCCCCTTGAATCCGAACGCAGTGGTACGATGCCGTTCCTAGACGTCCAGATTGGCAGAAGACCAGATGGGTCGACCCAACGGAGGGTGCACAGAAAAGCAACGTGGAACGGACAACACACATTTTGCCAGCTTTGTCCCACTAAATCAGAAACGGAACTTAATTAGGTGTTTAACCGAAAGAGCCAGAAAGATTTGTAGTGAGGACACGCTTCTGGATGAGCTGAACTTTATTAGTGGCATTTTCGAGAGAGATGGCTACCTGGAAAACTTTGTTCAAAGAAATATGGAGTGCCGGGAGACGAGAGCTAAAACAGTTTCGGTCGGGAATAAACTGGTTTACTTATCTTTACCATTCAAGGGGAATGGAATAACGCAGACAACGTCCCGAAGGTTATCCGACGCCATTGGCCATGCTTAATACGCAGCAAAATAACGGCTATGCTTCACCTCAAAACCAATCGTGAAGCAGCAGTCCAAGGACAGACTTTTTCGATCGAGTTATTCTTCCTGTGTATACTCATTCTCTTGTTCATATCGAGCAAGATATATCGGAAGAACCACCAGGAGAGTGGCTGACAGAATGCGCAAGCATTGCTCGGCTTGGCTGTGAAGTGGTGTGAAGAAAACGATGACGAGCGCCGTGTTGGCACATCTAGTTGACTCTAACCACCAAGTGGATACCCGTCAGTCTTTCCAACCTATTTAACACGTACCTGGACGCCACACACGAGCGGTTAGACATTGCCTACTAGCAACTGCGGAAGCGATTGCTATCTGCATCCAGAACCCAGATTGATGTGCTCAAAAGCGATTTGTACAGGTTAGGGAACACGCCACTCATATGTCCTTGACCCCTTCCGAACCAACCACCTAGATCCCTGAACTTTGCCATTGTATTTCGCGTACTTTATTCCTATCAGTTGTGGTGTATAAGCCTGATGAGATCCACCGAAAACAAGCCTGATCACTGACCCTTTTTTCTGATGTCCACGACCGGGATATCTTTTCACATAAAAATCCATAATTTGGCCATTTGTGGGTTTAACATCCAATGGTTCCGCATGGCTTGTTTGTTCCGAAAACACGGTGTGCAGCGGGACTGCAATGTGCGAAGTTCTGAACCCTAAAGCAATGAATTTTACATTTGAGGGTGCAGCATGTTCTCTACGTGTATGTCCTGGCCGTCTGTTTGAATTGACTTAATGCGCACGCGAATTACCTAGATCAGTATGGGTCCTTACAGATCCGCGCCCGCGGAATGACCTGGAAGGATTAGTGTTCAACATGTCCGCTTAAACAGGCAGGCCTTCGCCAAGCCTTAAGAACATGTGTCCACTAATCGCAGAGGTCGCAATCAGGATTTTAAGTGACTGTTAAACCTCGATTAACCATCAGGTCTAATCACCAGTTCATTAGCTCCTAGGATTGTTGCAAGATTGATGTCGGCCTGAGGGTGAAACTAACAGGTTAGTTATTGAATGTAATTAATCTTACTTAAATGTGCCACGCCATATTAAGTTTGACATTGAGATCAGAACCAAAAGTGACATGTTTTAAAGGTTTATTGCGATGTTAATTGTGAGGGTGAAAATGAAACCATGTCCGCAGTAAACTGGTCAGGACAGGATCAAAATCAATGGTTTTTATGCGCAAGATACTACATAGTTGAGAAGCACTTAAAGTTGTCCTCATGCGGTTCGTGTTAAAATTCAAAACCACGAATGTCTGCTCACATCATTATGTCGAGCTAAACAAGCTGAGCATATTCTTAGTAAATGTTCGAATCGCTTGGAATCAGTCTTTAGACAGCTGGCGACAAAAGTTGCTGAATGCTAGTAGTTGGTGCCGACCGCGACATTCAACATCACTTCACAACTCAATGAGCTCTAGTTGCAGATGGTCTGGAGCATTATCAGGGTCCATGAAGAAAGCGGAAGGAAAAAGCCCGATCTCCATTTCAACAGCTGCGAAGTCTTAAAAGCGCCTTTTAAACCCATCAGCCAGGGATACAATATCTGCCTATATATATATATATATATATATATATATATATATATATATATATATATATATATATATATATATATATATAATATCGTGAACGAGCCCAAGTATCTAAGACCCCTTCAGTAAAGCACTGTGTTAACTTTCCCTAGTTGGTTATAATAAACAATGTTACATCAGTGATTTTCGCCAGCATCTGACGACGCTGAATTTCGTACACAAAACAGTCACTGAGGTCTCGCGAGTTGAAGGCTTGCTAAAACTTTACTCTATTTTTGTCGATGAACTTGGAAAATTGGAATGATTCAAGGCTAGGATAAAATGAAATAAAGGCGCTGGGCCAAAATTCATCAAAGGGCGCACACTACCATACGCTATGAGGACTAAGGTCGAAGCAGAATTAAATCGTCTACAAACCCATGGTATTATTACTCCTGTACAGTTTTCAGGCTGGGCAACACCAATTGTGTCTGTGACCAAACCTTACCGCTCTGTACGGATTTGTGCTGATTACAAAATGACTGTTAATCAATCCTCCATGCTAGTCAGGTACCCATTACGCTGCAGCGACGAAGTGTACACAACACTGGCAGGTGGTGAGAAATTTACCAAACTCGATCTCAGTGATGCGCGTACTCGCAACTAGGGCTCGACAAACTGTCGAGGAAACTTACTACGATTACCACACACATGGGGATTATTCCAATATACTCGCTTGTCTTTTGGCATAAGTTCTGCTCCTGAGATCTTCCAAAGGACTACTGAGGACCTAGTAAAGGACATAGCTTTTGTCTGTGACTATCTGAATGATGATTTATTCCCAGACGCTCTGGCACAGAACATCTTAGTACACTCGCTGTCGTACTCAAGCATTTGGAACGGAACGGATTTAGACTGAGAAAATCCAAATAGGAGTTCCTTTCTTCTTCCGTTTGTTACCCTGGATACCGGCTTGATAAACACGGGTTACATATCCTAAACAACAAAGTGAAACCAATTTTAGAAAGTCCCGAGCCGAAGAACATTGATGACCACTGAGCAACGGGGGACGGCAACGACCACCGTGAATAAGTTACTAGATGTGATATAGCGCCGCTCACTATCCACTGACTAACATGTTACTGCCGTGCAGAGGACAGGGTAGTCCCCTCACCAAGCGACGAGCTTACCAAACTTAAGCCGCCAATTAACTTATGGCATTATAAGCACGGCAGTAACCTGTAAGTCAGTGGATAGTGAGCGGCGCTATATCCCATCTAGTAGCTTATTCGCGATGGTCGTTGCCGTCCCCCGTTGCTCAGTGGTCTCAACTACGGACTGGCAATAGCCGAGTTGCGAATTCGAGCCCTAGCAGGGGTGCGATGGAATGCGCACTGCTGATGATTCCCGAACGGATGAAACGCGCGTACAGTGCTTTTCCGGGCGTGTGGCGGCTGTCTGAGTGAGTCTAGATGTGACGAATTTTTACCTATACCATTCAACTCCTCCTACTACTCTTCTCTAATCAGTTACAAGATTGTTTACCTTACAGGTGTCAGCACACAGCCGATGCCCTGAGCCGTCTGCCAATAAGTAAAAGTACACAAAAGCATGACCTTCCGTTTGAACTGGTTAATTTAAGGCAACATCTACACACAACCCCAACACGAAGTGAAACAATCCGTCAGTGGACAGACCGAGACCCAATGCTGTCAATGGTGAAACTAATTTCGACGGTGAGTTGGCCTTCTGAAGGAACGTCTGATTTACAGCCGTTCATGATTCGCAAAAACGAATCGAGCCTATTCGATGACTGTTTTTGGGGCTCTCGGCTGGTCCCTCCTGTGAAGGCGCGTTCACAGATCCTCAAGGAACTACACGATGCTCATCCAGGTGTGGCAAGAATGAAAGCCTTAGCAAGAGGGTATTGTTGATGGCCCAAGATCGACTTAGACACAGAAAACTTATTGAGAAAGTGCGACATTTGTCAGGCTCATCAAATTAACTAACCACTCGGTCCAGTGCACTCTTGGCGTTGGCCCGACAAGCCGTGGTAGTGGATTCAAGCTAACTACCTCGGACCGATCAATGGGACAATGTTCCTCTTACTTATTGAGGTACCTTCTAAGTGGATCGATGTACACCCAATTGCTCAAGCGAAATCGTTTGGCATTCCAGAAACTTTATGCACAGACAACGGTTTACCATATGTTAGCGCTGAATTCAATAAATTCGTCACCAATAATGGAATCCAGCACATTAAATTGGTCACGTATCCCAAGCATCAAACAAGTTAGCAGAGCATGCGGTACAAACAGCAAAACAAGGCTTAAAAAAGCAGCGAAGGGGAACGTTACCATCAAAACTGGATCGCTTTCTATTCGTCTACCGTTCGAGGCCCACTGAGACTGCTGGTAAATCCCCGGCGGAGTTGATGTTCGGCAGAAATCTTAGGACGAAGCTGCAATTGTTGTTCCTCAACCCGCGCGCAGGAGTAAGGGAGCGACAAAAGAAATCTGTGTCCGCAAACGAGTCAAAGGCGGAAGTCACATTCGACCAACATCAACCAGTTTACACCCGGTTACCGCATGAAAAAAGCTTGGCAGCCTGACACCGTAATCGATGCGATAGGGACCCAATGTGACTTGCAGTTTCCGGATGAGCGAGTCATGCGCCGACACACGGATCACGTAGGCATACGAGGCACAGACCCACTAGCAAAAAATTAATAATGTGTCAGCTGTAGGCCGTAAAAGCTCTTCGCTGCCGTGCGACCACCACCAGTTGCACGCGGACTGGGCATACCGCGAGGACGCCCACCCATACACGGGTTCGAACCCGCGCCGCAAGACTACAAGAAAAGCTCGTTACCTCTAGGCTACGGGCCGACACAAGACAAAGCGCAGCCTGACTCGTATTGTGCCACAGAACCAGTGACAGTGAAGAACGAACGTACACCTACAAGCGAAACTCCAATTCGGAGGTCAAGCCGTGTGCGGAGATTTATAGATCATTTCCAAGCTGCAGTGTGAAGCTAGGCACAACGGTTAGGGATGTCACACGCATTTTAACGATCGCTGACTACGCGTTCTCTCTGATTGGTCCTTTGCATACATGCACGTACACATACACCAACAACTACTTGTAAGTAGCAAAGGATTTATTAGGTTTTTGTGTAGATTTGTCGCAGTTGGACACAGAAAGACAGCCAACACATATCCAGGAAAGCGCTAGACGGTCGTTTCGTCCTATTGGGACTCGTCAGTAGCGCGAACCCGCCGAATCCTGTCGGATTCGAACCTACGACCTTACTCTTGCGAGTCAGCGACTTATGTCACTGAGCCATGGGCGACGGCAGCGGACCGCCATGACTGATACCTAACTGCGATATAGCGCGGCTCATCCTCCACTGTCTTGCATGTTATGAAGGTGCAGAGGACAGGGTTGGACCACATAGCAACGACTTCCTTTGCAAGCCGCCACCAATCGAGGTGGCAAGTGTGCTGCTAAGGCGGCTACTGATTATTGGTAAGTAGTAGGGGGATGTATTAAGTTTTTGTGTGGATTGATCGCAGTTAGACACAGACAGACAGCCACCACACATATAGGAAAGCGCTTTCCAGGATGTTTGGTGGCTGTCTGTCTGTGTTTAACTGCGACGAATCTACACAAAGACCAACAACTATCTTCACTTGTCGTAACCTGTATCTGAGCACTTTGAGTAAACTGTTTCCGTCTGCGCGCTGTCTTTTTTCTGGCTAATGGCCGATATACGTACTACCAAAAGCGAGACGAGATAGCAATTTGCAAGGAAAAATCCAAGCTTGAATTTACTGTTTGAGGATGAGTCTGCGTGTCAGTTCAAATGTTAACGCGGGCCACATTTGGCCGGCGGGCCAGACTTTGGGCATCCCTTGACTATGCGTATCAGGAATATGCCAAGAGCAAGCGGACTAGATTTGCCTGTCCAGTGGGAACAAACTCACCACTTCCACGACTAAAGCAGAGCAGTAACGGGAAAATGCGTCATACTCGGAGATTGACATTATGGATTGTGTAAACAATAGATAACAAATCTTACAGAGTGAATAAGATGCATTATCTACGCGCCAAATGTCAAGTGACAAAGCATCTATGATCGCGCAACATCGAAACGGAAGAGTAGAGCAAAGAGGCAAATGGTGCATTGAAAACCAAAGATAGGTGATAAAAATCAAGCCACGATTAATTCAATACCCCATTAGGCTAAATAAAACAGTCTCGGGTCCAGCAACATTACCTACCTCATAACTGGCTACGGTCCGTTTGTGCAGAGCGCGTTCAAAAACGGCGACTGCTTCGGGAGTTCTGGGAAGTAGGTACAGTTGGAGTATCTCATAAATCCGTCTGGATTGGCATCGGCTGATCTTCAACAGCTTTTGGGCCTTATTCCGAAAATTCAAGTAGTGAGTCTTGTGTGTGGATTCATCGGTATTGCCATTCAAATGCGCATTCTCAATTTTCCCTTTTAATGAGTCCATGATTTCCATTTGTTCAAGACACCGTTTGCAATCAATGAAGTCTCGAATGCGTCGAAAATCATCCGAAGGATCTTCAACTAATGGTGTACAGTGATAAAGAACAATAGTTAGTTAGGTTGTCTTTTGTTCTCATCATCATAATCATCACATACTAATTGTTTAGATTGTAATGTGCATTCTAAATCTAAAACTCGACATCGAAATAAGCCTCGCGCATTCTGATAACTTGGTCTGCATAAGGAGCGGAGACAGTCCCGGGGCTGCTTGCTACCGGCAATGTTCCATGACCGGCCATAACCCATCAAAAAGCGACTCACAAGAGTGCGTTATCATAAAACAATTTGGAAAGCGTATGGTATACATAGTCAAAACCGCCGGTCACAATATCATCAAGAAATATAAAAAACATCAAACCAAATATCTAGCTACTTACCAACAAATCACAGGCAAATGATTTAGTTTATATATATATATATATATATATATATATATATATATATATATATATATATACATATATATATATATATGCCCCATGCTGAGGCTGATGTTGCATTCTTGATGCTTCTTCACCGCAGTTGGGCTAAACCAACTTACCCTTGAACTAGGTCCTTTTAACCTGGATAAATTTCATTTCACTTTATTTGGTTTGTTCTGCCTCCCTGAATAATGTTCTATTAACTGGCCACGTTGCTTACACTAATTGCGCTTATCTTCGGTAATTTTGTTGCGTTTGTAGCATTTTAAGTAACTTGTGGACATTTCTTACTTATCACGGATTCGTTGCTGACCAACTTACTTCATATGGTAAATTAGGGAAGAGTTATGCCATCGTATCTGTATGCATTATTGGATTTATTTTATTTCAGCTTGTCGTTTAAATTGAATGGCTGTTGTTTGATATCCCTGGTATGGTTGCGCTTGATGTGTATGTTGACAAGGTGCCTACCTGTCTATTACCCACTACATCGTGCATACTGGCTCCAGGAGACAGTTGGTCGTTGCTGGAGGGGACGGGGTGCACGGTCCTTGTGGCCGTGTTAGGATCAAAGAGTGGTTCCATGCAGTCAGTGTGGAGCGGACTACGGTCCAGCCACCGCCTTGTGTGCGCTTGATTCCCAAATACAGTGTGCTTGTGTTTGCCTGTGAAGGAGTGTGGGCCGGCTCCGTTGATGAAACGTGGCTCCCATCCGCATGCCTCCCGGTCTTATTCCTTCGGGTTTACACTGGATATGGGGTATGTGGTTGGAGCTGTGGGTGGTGCAGCGCAAGCCATCCATGGTCCCTGTGTAGGCGCAGGCGTCCTTTGGCTTGCCACAGTGACAGGCAAATCCGAAACCGGATGCCGCCAACCATATATATATCAAACACACAGAGAGGATGGTTCAGATACGTGCGGTGCGACGTGCAGCCAAACTCGGGGAGGCAAGATTAGGAAAACGAGCACGTGTTTCAGCTTCAGCTATACTTCCATCTCAACAGATTGAACGCGACAGGATAACAGCGGATGAGTAGTCAAGGAGAAACAGCAGATAAGTGTCAAACGCGATCATGTGTACAGCAATCGCACAATCGCAATCGCCTAGCATACAGGGAATAACCTAGCTGAGTATTATGGTTTCAGTCAGCATGTTCTCATTGACACTGAGACTGAACTGCGTCCGTATTGCAAACCACTGAAATTTAATAGAGAAAAGAAAGCAATGTGTTGGGCTGCAGGAAAAAGTAAGCTACGTCAAATGGAAGAACAGCCAGAGCCATTGAAAACGTGGTTTGCCGGAGATATTGCGAAATCAAAACAGTTTCTCTGTAACATCAGGAAATATCCCTCATGCTACCAAATGAAGTCTTTCGGTGCAGAAATCGTAACAGCTCCATTCATGCCCACTTTTAAAGTAAAAGGACAGATTTATCATAAAACCGAAGCCCTGCTTATTTTTCCAGATGATCAACATAAACTCCAAATTTATTTTATCGGTGACAACAGTGATGAATTGAATGCACGCTGCGGAATTTCTACCGGGATAAAAAGATCCATCGCTTCTCAAATGGAAGAGCTTCTTGGTCAAAAAAAGTTAGTGCTTTTGTTCAAAACAGCTATTGACATGATGACATTTGATACAAACAAGATCGTTATCCATGCTGACAAAACGTCAACTGGAGAACATGCGCGAAGACTCAATCCTCCAACTATAGACGAAGTTACAATCGTTATACTCGGATATCATTTCCAACTGACAGATATGGTTCTTCGTCGCAGAAAGGATCAGCTGGTAAAAGTTGCCGAAAATCATAGTTGCTATGGTGCTTTGCAATATCCTATCATTTGTTGGGATGGTGCTGATGGATATCACTTCAAGGTCAAAAGGATAAATCCAGTCAGTGGCGAAGATACACATAAGAAATGCAGCGCAATGAATTTTTATGTATACCGATGAAGACAATCTCACTTTGAAAGGTCGTCAATTAATTCACCAATAAATCGTCGATATGCACGCCAAAATCGAAACAGAACGTTTGTTATTCATCCGCACGAACCAGACCAAGTCTCGCTCTGTAGAATACGTTGATTTGAGAGATGCAGTTGTGATTGACGGCAATGCAGCCGACGTTGGGAGCCTCACAACTTTGCCCACTTCATATACAGGCAGACCAAGTCATATGCGTGAGTACCCTCAAGATGCTATTGCGTATGTTCGTTATTACGGGCGTCCCGACCTTTTCATTACATGCAGATGCAATCCACCGTGGGATGATATATAACAGCTTGTTACTCCCCAGGGCAGTCGCCGGTGGATAGGCATGACATCACAGCACGTGCTTTCAGACAAAAGCTGGAATCCGAGTTGGTTCATCGCAATTAGATTCCAAGCCGCATAGGTAAGCTCCCAATCCGGAAAAGCACCAGACACGCGTTCCGCCCTATTGGGGCTTGTCAGTGGTGCGCATCCATCGCCCCCCCCCCCACTGGGGATCAAACCCATGACTG